TATGTATATATATGGAATCACACTGTTTGGACTGTAAAGTCAAACATAAATTAAAAATTGCCAAGAAAAAGTACTTCATTTGTGACCATATCACTCTGCTTTCTAGCACTGTAACAAAACACCCGAGTCAATGAAGATATGAGTCTACTTTGGCTGGCAGTGTCCAAGCTAGTTTTGGACTTTGTTGCTTTGGGTTCTAGGGAAGCAGAATGTCGTGGAAGTAATACGTGGTCTCCTCCCAAGCTAGGAAACAGAAAAGAGAGAGAAGGGGACAGGTGCCATAGTCATCTCTGACTGCACATCCCCAGTGACCTAGAAGAGTCTCAGTGGGCCCTGCTTCTGCAAGTTTCTGTCATGTCCTTGTCCCTCTATTCGGGAATCATGCCTTTTCAACACACTAGCCTGTGAGGGGGATTAATGACTTAAACTACAGCAGAACCTTTCTTAAATGAAAGAGGACTACCACATCTTTTGGGGAATATCAGTCTTTTATGCATTTATAAGCAGTTATTCTAAATTATCATAATGGCCACTGAAGAAGAAAAAGATAGTTTACATATGTTCTAGTTAGTGGGAAGAGATGCTCTATTTATAAAGACAGTTTGACTTATTTGTTAGTAGCAGAATGTTGTTGAAAGAAAATTTTTATATATTATATTTATCCATCTCCCTCTGTTTCGAAGGAGTTCAAAGTATTGTGCAAAACTAATGTCAGGGTCTTTACAATATTGTAATTTCTAACTACCTGGATCAACTGGAAGGAGGTGTTAAAACAGTAGTCCTTCTTGCTCTACAGGGAAAGGCTGAGATCAAATAATCCATTTTTCCCCTTCCTTATATCAAAGTTCATAAAGAATCAAAGGATCCTGTTGTACCTTGCACCCTGTATTAATTAGGGACAATATAAAACATTAGTTATTTTAGTGTAGTGATCTTAATAGTGTTCTCACAAATTCAGGTATGCCTAGAACCTCAAGATGGGACATTTTTCAAAACAGGGTCTTTATAGTTATAATTAGTTGAGTTCATATTCTATTAGAATAATCCTTAAATCCAGGGAGGGGTGTCTTTATAAGCCCCAGAAAAGGCGCCAGTGGAGCAAAACGTGAAGTGATGTATCTACATACCAAGGAACGCCAAGGGTTGCTAAGATCCAGAGACAAACACAAGGCAGAAGAGAGATTCTTTCTACAGCCTTCAGAGGGAGCACAGACCTGCTAGCAACTTGATTTTGCACATCTATCCTCTAGAATTATGAGAAAATAAATTGCTAGTGCTTCTTAATCCACCTAGTTTGTGGTGATTTTTTTAAAACCACAGCCCCAAAGTAACTAATATAGGAATCATTTTCCCTCAACCTGCATTTCACAGGTTAAGAAATGGAAAAAAAAGCAGAACCAGCAAATTAGCATAATTTTTCTCCTAATGCTTAAATTCCAAGTATTTGTTGTGATCTAGTCTTCTGAGTTCCTGTATGACTTATTGACTCTCAGATATCTATTAAATGCATTTAAGTCCTTTGAGAAATGGTGTTCTTTAAAAATGCAATTTGTTTCATTGTATTGAAGTGTTTCTTGTATCCAAATTATGACTGTAATTTCTAGGCACCTATTATTATTGTAAAAGACTTTCTGGCCACTTTATGCATATGCCATTAAAGTTGCTGAAAAGAAAACTTTAAAATATTTCTTAACATTGAAAAATCCTTCTTTTTCCCCCAGCTATCTTCTGTCAAATCTAATGCTTTGATATTTTGTCATTGTTCATCTTTTACAAGGGCAACTTCGCAAGATAAGGGATAGTCTTAAAAGAAAAGTGTTTCAATCTTAAAAGATAACTCTGTTTAAAAATTCCATTTGATGACAGATAGATTTTTAGGGCATTATCCATAGTAATCTCATTTTCAGAGGTCAAGGTTGGTAGTTACTGCCTTTGCAAATTACAAATAAATTGTCTTTTTATTTGCTCCACTGTTTTTCTTAAGGGACAGAACAATAAATCTTTAAGTAGCAAATGATAAATGTAAAATAAATGCTGTCAGGACAATTGAGTTATGCTGTGACATAAGTATGTGTTTTGACAGTAATTTAGAGGTACCCTTTCAGGGATACCCCTGTAATGGAAGTCCAGGAAACAGTAACATAGTTCATTTGGGTAGTGGGTGTTTACCTTATGTAAATCACCAGGCACTCCGGTGTTACTAATTGGCAAAATACAATGGCAGGCTGATTTCATGTGTAAGGGTACATTGTCTTTGGGGCAAATGTTTTATATTTCCATCATCTGGGGAAGCAACAGTGCTAATGTACCCAGAAGATAACATTTATAACCCTGCATTTGGTATATGAAGAATAATACCACCTTGACACATTATATTGTTCAAGGATTGTCTAAAGAATCTGGTTAAAAGAAAAAATTCGCAAAATCTTTTATTTTTCTGATGTTATCTGAAATCTTTTCCCTGCAGAATTCTTTGGGTTCTAAACATTCTCTCTAATATAGCTGAACCTAAGAAGAGAGAAGTGCATGACTCTAAAAAAATGGAAACAGAAGTGAAGAGGGAAAAACGTTTAGGTTTAACTATTTAAACCATGAGTGTCCTCTGACTGCCAATGTATTTAATCTCTTTTTCCTAAATTCACACACAAAAAAATCAGAAAATACAAATTGACAATAATAATTCCTGTGGTCATTCCTAGAGTTACTGTAATAAATCAGCACAAACTAGATGACTTAAGATGGAGAAATGTATAATAGTTTTCTTTTATTTGTGTTATGTTTGTAGACCCCAGTGGAGGCCAGAAACTGCAGATACTGCCGGATTCTACTTATATCTACTCCCGGATGTATACAACCATCCCTTACTTCGAGTAAGTCGAGTAGTCTCCCTCATTTTAAGGACTCAGTGCTTTCTATCACGTTTTCTTTTCATGTTTTCCACACCCCACTTTAATAAGTTTACCATCTTAGTTAACAAATTTTATATTGTGGCAGTAAGTTTAACAAATTGAAAGCTGGGCATGGTAGTACACGCCTGTAATCCCAGCAATTGGGAGGCTGAGGCAGGAGGATTGCTGTGCATAGCCTGGGCTGCATAGTGAGTTCCAGGTCAGTCTCAACTATGTGGTGACACCCTGTGTCAAAAAACAAAAAACACACAAACAAAAAATTTAAGTGTAATAGCAAAAGTACCACAAATATCCTTTTCCTTTTTTTAGAAAATTAATTGTTTACTGATACATTTAAGGTATACAATATAATGACATTCATCATTGGAAATTTGCACTTTACGTAATCCATCTTGGTTCTTGTTTTTTCCCTATTTTCCTGACGTCCCTTCAACCCCTCCATTCCTCTCTATTGTATGACACTATCAACAGAACATTCATTCTGGGTATAAATTGTAGCACCCTCAGTATTCTTTTTTTTTTTTTTTTTGCTTTATATAGTCAAGGTTTTCAACTTATTTATAGGGTTTACTGTGCAGCTTTTCTTTAGCATTTTGAAATTGCCAGCACCCGTCCTATTGCCCTCTGGAGACACTACTAAGTACAATGTGGGTTACCTGAACACAAGCATTTTGGTGCCATGACAGGCGCATCTGCACTGAGAGGGCTATTCCGTAACTAACGAGGGAGTAGTTAGTGTATACACCGTGAATACCGTGGAAAAGGGGTGATTTGTTTCCCGGGCAGAATGGTGTGACAGAATGTGAGGTTTCATCATGCTGCTCAGAATGGCACCCAATGTAAAACTGATAAATTGTTAATTTCTAGATTCTTCTAGCTAATGTTTCAGGTAAGAGTAGACTGACACTGTGGAAAGTAAAACTACAGAAAAGGAGAGTACTGTAGTCACTCGCAGTTCTGGAGATCAGAAGCCTAAAAACACGCTGGTGGCCCTTGAGTTGTTCTGAATGTTCTGAAGAAGATTCCATTCCATGTCTCTTTGCTAGCTTCTGATTACTTCCATAAATCTGTGATATTTCTTTGCTGATAGATAAGTCGCTCTAATCTCTGCCTTTCCCTTCAAAGAGCTTTCCTCCTTGTGTCTCTAGTCTAAAAGTCTCCTTTGTTTCATAAGAACAGAAGTCACTGCGTAGAAGGTCACCTTAAATCCATGGTGCTCCCATCTTAAGATCTTTAGTTATATCTGTATTGACACATTTCAGATGAGGTCACACTCACAGTTAACAAAGGTTAGGGCTCAGGTAAATAACATGGGAAGATAGTACTCATTCTACTGTAATAGTCCCTCTATTGCAAAGCAGTCAAATACACTTAGTGTCACATTTGTCTTATGCTGTACAGCCTCACAGGTTTATTAGATGTTCACATACACCCTAAGCAACTTGAGGGGTTATGTCCCAGTGGGGCACAATAAAATAAAATTTGAGATACATTCCTTTGTTTAGTTTATAATAATATAATATTACAATCCAGAATGTACAATTTAAAAAAATTATCCTATAGGCAGCAAGCCTGTCTTCATCTCTTTGTCACTATTCGAAATCAGATACTCACATTACCGCCCAGGTGGGCTCGAGCGTTGATGTAGTATCTGACACTCAAAGATGCATCTGGGCACCCCACTGAAAGCTCGCCCTGCTCCTGCTTGGAAACCTCTGATAGATAATAATATTTGGAAGCTCGGCGGCTCATTCTGCTGTTCATTAAAAATAAATGACTCTTGGAAAGAATATTAATTATAATAAATTTTTTCCATTTAATAAAACTCAACCTTTCGAAATGGGACTGCAGGTGAAGTTGGACAGCAGAGGTGAAGGGTGCATCAGAGTGAGCAGCCCGTAGCTCCAGGGCTTCCCTGAGAGCAGATGGTGCTCAGAATCAGTCCACGTATGATCATTTCATAATAAAGATTAAAGTCGTATGTCCCCTTACAGGGGTGTGCTCGGCTGGCTGCTACTGTTCTGAAACTAGCTCTTGGCCCACCTTGTTCCATGTGAGATTTTTTTTCCCCATTCTATGTATCTAAATCATTTCATATTTCCAATAATAAACTGTCCATTAAGAAGTTAAGATTTCAGAAAAAAATGCTAACTCTATGTTATCGTTGTTTTTCTGTTGTATGGGCCCATTAACGTTGATTGCAAATTTATTATTGTTCCAGATCTTAATCTTCCAATAATATTTTGAGTCATCCATGTGTTTTTGCCATAGTCAATTTCCATGCCACGTGATATTGATAATTAGACAATAAAAGAGGCTTTTTTTTCTCTGAGAAGCTGGCCTTGAAAGTAAAGAAATGTGGGTGTTATAACAAGGTAGCAGCTGTAACTGAAATTCTAATGCACAGCGGGGAGTCAGATCCAAGGCAGTTTCATTCTTCTTGTGAGTTGGCTGGGAGCCATTATTTCCAGGGGATAAAGAAGAACATTGTTCCTGTACGTGACCACTTGTGAGTTTCCATGGAAAGCCCACACAAGACCTTGGGATGATTGTGTGCCCCAAAGAAAACAACCAGTGAACGATTTTTGAGGCAGTCTGTGTAAGCCTAAATTCTTGAAAGCATTCAGGTGGCCATACAGTCAAAAGAATATATTTTTTAAGCATCACTTAAAACCAATGATACAGTTAACCCTAGGAAAGGGCAACTTGGTTCTGTCTTAGTATCTGTAATGTTTTCCTCTGCTGTATTGGACCTACCTAAGGAGCTGATTTGGATTTGCTGAGCAACGACTCATTTTCTATCTGTTATAATTTGTTATAACCTTCACTAAGTATCTTTTTTTTTTTCCTTTTCATTTCATTCTTCTTTGTTTGGTTGTATTTTAGTATTAAAGATCAAACCCTGGGCCTTTGTATTGAGCTATAACCCTGGACCTTGATAAAAGTATTTTTGAGACAGGGTCTTGCTAAATTGCTCAAGCTGGTCTGTGATTTACAGTTTTGTGTTAGCATAGCAGAGTGCTGGGATTAAAGGCATGCAGTACCATGCTCTGCTACCAAGTACCATTTTTAAGGCATCTTGGTGAACATATGTTATAAATGCAGAAAAGTACATTATATAAAAAATCTTACAGGGACAGGGTTGATTTTGTCAAACTGACCATACTCACATGACCCTCACAAGGCATGAGATACTACCAAAAAACATCATTGTGCCTGTCTCCTTCCTTTCAAAATGAGTAGCTATTCTGACTTCTGACATCATAAAATTTTGTGTGCTTTATATCAGTAGAATCAATGATATAACCTTTTTCCTGGATTTTTTTTCGCTTAGCATTGCAGTAATGTGAAGTAATCTGTATTTTGCTACGAGGTTAACACTTGGCTATTCTCATTGGTGAACCCTGTTTCATTGTGAGGATATGAAACATTCACCAACTTTACTGATGACATAATTTAGGTGGTTTCTACTTTGAGCCAATTTTGAAAAGAGCTCCTCAGAACATTCTAGCACATTATTTATGTACAATTGTATAAGGCTTATGTATCTTAGAGTAGAATATTAAGGACTTTGCTTCTGAATTTCTGTTCAGTTTTGTAAATCCACATACCGGTTTAAAGTGGTTTCTTCGCCTGCCTGTATTTGTGTTAACATGTGGTGTTGTTACTGCCTACATTGACTTGGAAAGCTGATATGTTTTGTGCTTGTCCACTATTGCTAAGGCTAAGTAGCTAGCATAAAAAACTTGATGGAGGAAATACTTATTTGGGTTTATGGTTTCAGAGGGTTCAATCCATGTGCATCTGGCTCTAAGACAAGACCATCGTTATTGGAGGAGCATGACTGAGGAAAGCTGCTCAATTCATGGTAGCCATGAAGCAAATAGAAGGGGAATAGCCAGAGAAGAAGGGGCCAGGGACAAGATACACACTCCAAAGGCACACTCCCCACCAGTGATTTATATCCTCTAACTAGGAAATGCTTCCTAACAGTTCATCCCATTAATGCGCTTATTAATACATTGAGCGACTCTATGTAGTTAAAACTCTAGATCCATTTGGTTCCCTAGATCCCATCATCTGGCAAACAAGACTTCCATACAATGAGGCTCTTTGGAAATATGATGGATCCCAACCACAACATTGTATGATGGGACTTCAAGTTAGCAAAGGATGATTGCCCCCACAATTACTGAGCAGATGAATTATGATCTTTATATCTAGTATTGATTATTAAATTTTTGCTTATTCATTTTATCTCCTTAATGTTTATGAACTCCTTTCTCTGTTATACAGTGCTATTTTATATTTAGTTTTTTAATATTTTAACTTTCATACAGTTTACGTAACTGGTCCAACTGCTTTCAGTCACTACTATCTCTATCCTCATGAATACCTCACCAAGAGTTGGGTGGTCAGTGGCAAATATTCATCCCCATTTCCTGTTAAGAGTTCTATTTCTTAAAGTTCAATTATAATTTGATTGCTTCAGAATATTCAATGCTAAATCTAAGCTAAGACTTCTCTTTTCCACCAAGCTCCTGCATTTATACATAAGTTATCATCTATTAATCTTTCCCTGTCTCAGTATTGGTATTTTTTTAGGCTCTAGCTTTTTCCTTTATAAATTTTACTTTTAAAACTGAGCTTTACTCCTGTAATCCCAGCACTCGGGAGGCTGAGGCAGGAGGATCTCTGTGAGTTCGAGACCAGCCTGGGCTACACAGTGAGTTCCAGGTCAGTTTCAACTACATAGTGAGACTCTGTCTCAAAAAACCAAAAAAAAAAAAAAACTGAGCTTTTACCCATATATTGGACACAATAGAAGTTTATCATTCTGTTCTTTGTGACATTTAAAAAAATATTGTGCATTTTTGTAATACTATGTATATCATAAAATTTGTCTTTTCTGTAGATTATAAAATACATCTCAAACAATTGCTGGGTTTATTTAGTACCCC